GTATTCCAGTCCGTCTTTCCATCATTCTTCCTGAAGTCGATGGACCTAGTTCCACTTTCTCTAACACAACGTTAACATCTATCGCTGCAGGACGTCCTGTCTCGCCGCCACGCCTTCCAGTTATGCGACCTTAAAAAAGTTAAAAATGATAGTTAAAAGAAGATTGGCTTCAAACAAGAAAGGTGTAAAAATTACTTACCTTCAGATATATCTCTATGGGTGCGGGCGAATACTTCACGACCCAGATGCCGACGATTGGGGTATCGCTCTGCATAGAGTCTTTGAGCATCTCTGGCATTACAGCAAGCTTCACCGTAAATTAGGTGAATATCCGCATATTCATGCGACGTATACTGCGTGTTCTCTGTCATAGTGTTAATAACACAATGTTCGAAGGGTCCAATTTCACCAAATCCACTTTCACTAATTCCGGTAAGTAACATAAAATAATGTCAGGAGCAGGTAATAATGTACTATTTTACTATTTAGCATGTCATTGGTCGGTAACAAGAGCAACTTAAATTTAAATCTATTAAATACATTCTAGCGTGTCTCAGTCCTTTGCTCACAAAAACGCCTATAACTTTTTTTTCTATTCGAAACAGTAAGAGTTGCACCTTTCTGAAATCTTTATTAAATTCGCATCTTTTTATGTAATGTAAAGTTATAGCTCAGTACATTTGTTTTTTCACCAGAGATAGTCAAAGTTGGGGAAGAAAATATCAAAAATTAAAAATCCCAAAATAGTCCTAATTTTATGATGGTTACTTAATATATTTTAACTACATTGCATTTGAGTATGGAGAAGCAACTATCTCGAAGTATTTTACATAAAATATTTACTAAGTATAGCCTGGTTTGTAGATGCAGTTAAAGAAAATACATGAAAAGGCAGGATTTTTATAATTCAAAAAAATGTAAATATTTCAACAACGGTGACACTTTTACATGAAAATTTTTTGTTTATCAGAAAGCTCACCCCCACCTACCTTCCCCTAAAGTTTGGCACGTTACTACTGGGACAACCTGTATGAGCACGATTTGTTATAATTTCTTTTTACTTTTTAACGGATTTCAAAAAAGGAGGAGATAATCAATTCGTCGGAATATTTATTTTACAACGCTTTTATCAACTTGCAATGTTGTGTGTCCAGAAACTTTCAATGTTGTGTGTCCGACACCACAAAACCTTTGCTTTGAAAAGTTCCTATAAAAAAGCATAGTGCATAGGGCGACATCTGTAGTGAATAGGGCGAGGTAGATGACATCTAGATGTCGCCCTATGTACTACGTTTGCTACAGCGGAAATAAACGACACGCCATTTCTTTAAATAAAATTAATTGGTGCTCGTTAGTATGTACATACATATGTAAATGCATGTGTGTGCACCTTTCTATTAATATCGTTGAATTATTTTAATATCTATTGCAAAATTTTATTCAGACAGGACTAAAAAGTAGAAAATAAATAATATAAAAAAAAACTTTTTAATATACAACGCTTTTATAAATGGACCAAAAAGTAGAAAATAATATTTCTCAGTCCCATAGAATTTGTTTTGATAACTTTTGATTTTGAAATTTTAGCAAAAGTCATTATAAACAATCTATGAAATTGAAAATGAAAAGCGTGGGGCGCATGTAATACACTTGAATTGATATGAAAAGTAATATATGTATGTATGTATGTGGGTATATGAATAACGACCGCTTAAAATCGATTTCAAAGTTCTACTTTCGCTGTAGAAATTTTAGGTCTACGTTATGTAGTTTGACTATTGTCAATTAAATCGAATGCTTTGTATTGCATGCGCTCCACGTTTTTCATTTTCAATTTCATAGATTGTTTATAATGACTTTTGCTAAAATTTCAAAATCAAAAGTTATCAAAACAAATTCTATGGGACTGAGAAATATTATTTTCTACTTTTTGGTCCATTTATAAAAGCGTTGTATATTAAAAAGTTTTTTTTTTATATTATTTTTTTATGTATGTTACCGCATAACTTTGGACCACGTGAACCGATTTCGATAATTCTTTCTTTTCTCGGAAAGGATGTACCTCAAGGGTGGTCTCATAATAATTTCGTTTAGATCTGATGATTGAGATGTAGCAACTCGTGAGATTTACTGTGCATAGGATTCATATATAAACAATGTTATGTTATGTTTATTACACATAAGTGCAGAATACGTACCGCATACATATTTACGTATGTAGTTATATTTCAACATTTTATTTACTTAATTGAAATCTGTATATTTCTTTTCCTCAGCAAGAATCTAAGCAGCCGAGTGCCTTAAAAATGGCCACCATGACCAGGAGACGCTCGTCGGCGGCATCCACATGTTCATTTAGTTCAGGTTAGATCATGTTGTTTGTGTACTTTAAAGGTACATCATTATGTATAATTTAGCTAACATTTAATTTTATGTCTACACGAAAAATATGCATAGCTTGTTATACTGGCAGCTCGGATGAAGACACTGTATCCCCGCGTGAAAAGAAGCAACGTAATAGCGCTGGTAACTCGGATTTTTGTGTAAAGAACATTACTTCACAGCACGCCTTCGGGAGGAAGGAAATTGAAATTGCCGAAAAAGAAATGCCTGGTATACTTGCACTTCGTAAGCGCGCATCACAAGATAAACCTTTAAAAAATTCTCAAATCGTGGGTTGCACTCATTTAAATGCGCAGACAGCCGTACTTATTGAAACGTTAGTAGAGTTGGGTGCCACCGTACGCTGGGCAGCCTGCAATATATACTCCACTCAGGTAAAACCTATTAAGTTACTTTAGTTAAAATTTACACATACTTAGGTATTTGCAACATACATATTTCAGAACGCAGTAGCCGCTGCACTCGCTGAAGCAAGTATCCCAATATTTGCATGGCGTGGTGAAACCGAAGAAGATTTTTGGTGGTGCCTAGATAAGTGTATTAATTCTGCAAACTGGCATCCAAAAATTATATTCGACGATGGCGGCGACGCCACCCACTTAATGTGGAAAAAATATCCCAACCTTTTCAAAGCAATCAAAGGCATTGTTGAAGAGAGTGTGACTGGTGTGCACAGATTGTATCAGCTCGTGAAGAACAAAAAATTAACAGTTCCAGCAATAAATGTTAATGATTCTGTTACGAAAGCAAAGTTCGATAACTTTTATAACACCAAGGACTCTATTTTGGATAGGTATGGAAAAGTCGAATCTTTCAAATTCTTAGTTATTTAAATAGTTAACTTGTTTTCGAATAACGGCTAGTCTAAAACGATCAACGGATATTATGTTTGCTGGTAAACAAGTAGTTGTTTGCGGCTATGGCGATGTTGGTAAGGGATGTGCACAGAGTCTTCGGGGGCAGGGATGTATAGTGTATGTAACTGAAGTCGATCCAATCTGTGCGTTACAAGCCGGGTAAGGATATTGAAAAAATTCTTTTTTCCCAATTTTAGGACTTAAAATATCTTTTAGTATGGACGTCTTTCGAGTAGTGCGTCTAAATGAGATTGTTCGTCAAGTGGACCTTATTGTGACGGCTACTGGCAATAAGAATGTGGTCACTCGCGAGCATATGGATCGAATGAAGTCTGGATGTATTCTCTGCAACATGGGCCATTCTAATTCGGAAATCGATGTGGTAGGTTTTCTAATACGCATACTAAAGGCTAAAATTGTATACTTTCAATGAAATAAAGAATAGTTTACATTCGCCTGAGCTGTCCTGGTTGAGAGTACGTTCCCAGGTTGATCACATTATTTGGCCGGATGGGCGCATAGTAATTCTATTAGCTGAAGGACGTCTTGTTAATTTGTCTTGTTCCACTGTTCCATCATTTGTAGTATCGGTTACGGCTTCAGCACAAGCGCTGGCTCTTATTGAACTTTTTAACGCACCAGTTGGCCGCTATAAATCCGATGTTTACCTGTTGCCTAAAAAGATGGGTATGATATACTAGATTATAAAATCATGGTACAATTGAAGTAAACTCTTATACCTTCTTCGTAGATGAATATGTCGCAAGCTTACATTTACCAGTTCTGGACGCACATTTAACTGAGCTCACCGATGAGCAAGCTAAATACCTAGGACTAAATAAGGCTGGACCTTTCAAGCCCAACTATTACAGGTTATTTAATAGTTATTTTAAGATTTGAAGTTGCTAAAATTTAACATTAATATTTATTTCAGATACTAAAATAACAAATGTTTGTATTAAATTTTAATCCTGAGAACTACGAACGAGCCAACAACTGAAAATAGAAGTTCATATTTTACTGTTCATTTGTTTATGTACAAATCTATGCATACACATACACACATATATGTGTATGTGTTTTTGCATTTTAAGAATAAATGAAAAGTACCACGTTAAAAACAATCTGCGTTATGTGTAATGATTCATCAATGTGGACTGGGTCTGGGTAACGCAGGTGTAGTGTTTTCAACAATCTATACTAATTAGATCAAGACAATACCCTTTTTTAAGAGGTAATCTCGCGAATGACTGTCCGATTTTCATGAAATTTTGTTTACAAATAGCTTTTAGCAACCACTATGTCAGGGACCATAAAAATTTACTTTTTTCCGGAAGGTGGAAATCGATCTTTACGAAACTAACAATAATTATGTAAATCTTAAGAACTAAGAGTTTGAGATTTTCCTTGCCACTGCTTGTAAATCGTTTATTTTTCAAATTAAAGCTATTGGCTGCAAGATTACAATTGGTGTAATATAACGCTTGGTCTGGGTTTGTGTGACCGCGGATGCCGTAAGACTAAGCGAAATTGTCGCTTATGGGTTTCTTTTGCAATCGGATATAACCTCTGTGGAATAGAAGGTTTTGAGTTAGTTCGTTATGGTGTTCCTGGAGTTTCCGGAGATCTACTCTGATACTCAGTACATATTTTCACTTCATCAATAACTCTTGGCATGATCAGATCCTTGTGGAGGTTGGCATTTCTAACGTACCCATGGGGATCCAGTAATCACTCGGAGGACTTTAGACTGTAGTATTTTTAGTTCTTCTTTATTTGATGTATTAGCATTACCCCACATTTCAATTCCGCACGTCCGAATCGGTTTGAGCATCGCTTTATATAATAGAATTTTGTGTCCAAGAGATAAAGGAGGTTTTGCGACTTTCGCCTCAATGTGTTTACTCCACGTAAGCCTCTTATCTAAATGGATACTAAGATACACCCAGCGAAATAATTATAAGACCAAAATAAACCTTGAATTTTTCTTATTTAATTGTGTTCAAAAATTATGTATCTTTGTTATTTTTATGTTTACAATTAATGTATATGAAAAAATGTGTTTACAGTCGTTTTTGTAAAATTCAAAGAACAAAATAGGAATAAAATAGTTCATCCGGAACTAAAAAAATATAAGACCAAGTTCAAGTTTTTTTTAATAGTGGAAGCAAATATTAGTGAAACAAAATTTATTTATTTTTAATTAATAACTGGTATTGGATCCTCTTTTTATTGTGACTTGTTGGAGTCGTCGAGAAATTAAACAAATTAATTTCTTTATTGTTTTTTGCTCAATTTTAAACCATTCTTGGTTAATTGCTTTCCTGGAACTCTTTACACTATCAAATTTCCTCCCATTCTTAAATACAGCTTGAGAAAGAATTCCAAAACATTCTCAATAGGATTGAAATCCGGACTGCAGGCGGGCCATTCTAGGACGGGTACATTTTCCGATCGCAGATATTCCGTTGTTGTCTTTGATGAATGAACTGCGGCGTTATCGTGCTGGAATATCCATTCTTCATAGGAAATATCGTCACCAAAATATAAATTACTTTGTCAAAAAGCTCGGCGTATTTTTGGCTGTTCATTCTCGTTGATGTATAGCAAATTAGAGTTCTTCCATTGACTCCAATCCCTGCCCACACCATAACTAATCCACCTGCGAAATTACGTGCGAATCTCTCCTCCTTCTTCTTGCGTTTGTCATGCCAGTACATTTGGGAACCATCTGTTCCATCCCAATTAAACTTTTTCTCATCACAAAATATTATATACTCCTTCCCACTCTTCCTCCAAAAGAATAGATATTTTTCGGCAAAATCCAATCTGAATTTTTTATGTCGCAGCATCAACTTCGATTTAGGGACCCGTTTGGTGTATTCCAGTTTGGTGTCAATCCTGAAAATTTGCTGAATTCGACGCTTCAATACTTGCAAACCACGAATTTGGACCACACTTGCTACCCTAACTTTCCTTTGGTAGTTTGGTTTGATGAAGCATTTGGTAGGAAAAAAATGTTGTGAAAATACATCCCATCGATTTGTTCGCTTACTTTGCGCTTACACGTTCGATTTGCTTTCACGTGTAAGACTGCTTTGTTTTTCTTTATTTTATTAAGCAGACAATTTAATTATTATTTGCTTTTTTTTGTTGGCGGCCGCTGTGGTGTAGTGGTTAAGAGTGCCCACTACCAGTCCGCAGGGCCTGGGTTCAAACCCGGTTCAACCCTACATCAAAAAATAAAAAAAAGTTTTTTTTTTTCTAATAGCGGTCGTCCCTCGGCAGGCAATGGCGAACCTCCGAGTGTATTTCTGCCATAAAAAACAGCTTCTTATAAAAATACAATCGCCGTTCGTAGCCGGCCTAAAACTGTAGTTCCCTCCCCTTTGTGTGACAACATCAAGGCGCACGCCACAAATCGGAGGAGAAGCTCGACCAAAAACAAGCATACATATGTATGTGTTAGCGTCAATCTATTATCGGACAATTTTCTGCAAACAAAAACTCACTTCCCAAAGCTATGACCGATCAGCTGCCCTCTTCGGAGATTGCAATCTTGATGCGATGAAGAGACTCAGTAGGTGTAATGATCCTGAGATCGATGCATGCCGACGCACAGCGGTGTAACGACCCTGAATACGAATTGTACAAATTTTCTCTTCAACAATTATCTACATGTTTTTGTTAAGCCTAGAAAGTCGTTAAGAATATACAACCTTTATTAAAAATAATCATCATCTTCACTTGCGTCATTGTCATCACTGTCAACATCTGTCAATCAAAAGTCGATTGAATATATCTTGATTCGTCTTTTTTCTGTTGCACTTGCGAGAAAAATGTTCTCTGTAGCTCTTAAGATCTTTGTTTCGCGTCTCTAGAGCTTCTTCTGACAATTGACGT